CTTCCTCTTTGAACTTGTACGAAAATACATGTTCAAAGAATGAAGCATTTCTTGATTCTAATATCGCGTTTTTGTGTATGTCAGGGATTTTAGAATTATAGACAAGAAATCGATAAACACTACTGTTGTGTGCATACCCAATGAAGATGCAATCTACTGTCTTTGGCCCTATCCTTACCTTCTTTGGTGTTGGAACGACCACTTTATCAAAACACCCCCACACTTGTAAGTATTTATAGGAAGACTTTCTTCATTTTCATAACTCATAAGGGGTCTTTTTCATTTTCTTTCGGGTACCTTATTTAAAAGGTAATTTGCTGATGACACAGCTTCCCCCCACATGTTTTGAGGTAATCCAGAACTTACTAGCATTGCATTCATCATTTCCTTTAAAGTACGATTTTTTCGTTCAACAACACCGTTTTGTTGCGGTGAATAAGGTGCACTGGTTTCATGCATGATTCTATATTGTGCACAGAATTTCACAAATAGTGCTTCATACTCACCACCGCGATCGCTTCTTAACACCTTAATTTTCTTATTAAGTTGAGTTTCAACTTCACTCTTATAGAGAACAAATTTCTCAATGGCTTCATCTTTACTTTTTAACAAATACACATAACAGTATTTGGTGCTATCGTCGACAAAAGTAATGAAATACTAGTTGCTACATCTTGTTTGTACGAGTTTTAAATCACATACATTGTTGTGAATTAAATCAAGTGGTTCCGTGTTCCGTTCAATTGATTTAAACGAAGATCTTGTCAATTTTGTCTCAACACAAGTTTCACACTTATGTTTTGAATCAATGTGGAACTCGGGTATGCAATTCAAGTTAGCAAGTTTTCGTAAAGTAACATAGTTAACATGTCCTAATCTATCATGCCACAAATTGGAAGATTCAAGTAAATAAGAAGAAGAGTTTACTTTATTCATTTTCGATTTAACAATCATTATATTGAATTTAAACATAACATCGGAAACATATCCTTTTCCTCACTTTTTGACAAAATAACTTTGTCTGACTCAATACAATGCGAAATCCATGCTTATTCAAAAGCGACCCGGACACTAGGTTTTTGAGAATTTTCGGCATATATAGCACATTGTTGAGAGTCAACTCTTTTCCCGAGGTCATTTTCAGAACCACCTTTCCTTGACCTTTGATTTCTGAAGTTGCTGAATTTCCCATAAACAATTTCTCCTCGTTCTCAATTGCTTCAAATGCAGCAAACAGTTTTTTTTTTATCAAAGCACACATGCATCGTAGCACTGGTGTCAATCCACCACTCCTTAGGGTTTGAACCCACCATGTTTACTTCAGAAATGACAACTGAGAGATTCAGCTCCGACACATCATATGCCATGTAGTCAACCATATTTGCTTCTTTCTTCTCCTTTGGCAATCTGCACTTTGAAAACTTGTAGCCCACTTTGTCACAATTGAAGCATTTTCCTTGAAATTTTTTCTTAGAAATTCCACCTTTCGGTCCTTGATTGGTCCTTTTGCCACCAGATGGTCCAGACTTGTTTTTTTATAGTTCTTACTACTTTGACCATGCTTCACAACATTAGCTTTAGCATCACCAAGATTGAACCACTTCTTTTCGAAACTCTTGTTTTCTTCTTCAATTCGAAGTCTAACAGTTAGTTCTTCGATATTCATTTCCTTTCGCTTGTATTTCAAATAATTCTTGAAATCTTTCCATGCGGGGGGCAATTTTTCAATAATTGTACCCACTTGAAAAGTTTTACTCAAAATCATCCATTTGGCATGAATTTTGTGAAGAATCACTTGGAGTTCTTGCACTTGACTGATAACTATTTTGGAGTCCACCGTTTTATAATCTAAGAATCTGTCGACAGTGAACATTTTAGCCCCGTCATCCTCAGTTTTATATTTTTGGTCTAAAGACTCCCACAACCCCTTAACAGTTTTCATAGTACTATACACATTGTATAGTGTGTTTACTAAGCCGTTCATAATATGGTTTCGGCACAAAAAATTCGAGTGGTTCCAAGCATCAAGTGCACTGATTGATTGAACATCTCCCTCACCCTCATTGAGTTTTGGAGCAGTCTCAGTCAAAAATCTCGTAAGATTCAAAGTGGTCAGCTAAAATAACATTTTCTGCTGTCACCTTTTGAAGTTCAAGCCATTGAATTTTTTCAATTTTTCTCCATAATTAATCGGAACATTAACGGTATGGCCAGTTGTTGGAGCCATAGTTTAACTCACAACATGACTTGGTAATTTAGCCACAGTTTGAGCCACAGCTGAGCCCATAGCCTGATTTCGAGTAGGCACAGTTTGAGTCACATCTATGTTGGTCGATTCAATTGCCATTTCTAAAAATAAAAGAAAATTAGTTTCCAAAATTAATAGTATGAGAAACCAATTTTTTTATTTTATCAAAGAATCTGTTTTAAGTTTGTTGGAATATAGTGGTGTTAATGAAATCGAATTATTGCATACCATATATGTAGTTTAGATTTCGATTTTACGGGAAGCTTACCATATTTGTAACTTACCGTATTTGCAGGCAACTTACCGTATTTGCAGGCAGCTTACCGTATTTGACAGCTCACTGTATATGGCAGTTCACTGTATTTGGCAGCGAAACCCGTCGTATATGCGTAAAATTAGCACAAACTATTTTTATTAAAACAACATAGATTTTTTTTTTCAATAGAAATACCGTGTATATTTATTTATATATATATATATTTTTTTTTTTTTTTTTTTTTTTATAAAATTTCAACCTGAGGCCTGTGCGAACACAGTTTCCTTAAAACAGATTCGCTCCCTCACCGTAGTACTTGAGATCTAATCCCAACGTCTATTTTCCAGGATACAATGGTAAAATTCGTAGAATTTGAGCACCACAGAAACTACTACGGCGAACTGAGTTTGTATTCGAACAATATCACCACCATGACTAGAGATTATATATATGCAGATAGAACAAAACTATGCAGAGTATTTTCTGTGCGAGGCAGAGAGATTTTTTCATGTGTATGAATTGCTGGAAAATTGAGATTCAATATAACATAAATCTGTCCAATAACTCCATGGCAATAAATACTGGAGCCACTTCAGTTTCTGCTGGAGTTTTGGTAGTTTGTGAAACTCAAATGTCAGTTGAAGAAAGCAAAAAGAAAACAAAACGTGGACATTCCAAATGGGCCAATTTTTGCTTTGCTCGGTCCGACATTCTTGTACGCAGGTCGCACCCGTGCACAAGCTCAAGGTACGAAGGCAATTTCGATCCATGATTTGCACTCCCTGCGCACGTACATGGAGAGAGTCTCTATGCTACACATAATTATACATTTTCAATGTATAGCCATATTTAAAGTGGTTAATACTTTCTTCATTTTCCTACGTGGGACTAGTGTTATTTTCCTACATAAACCATCTTCCAATAGTTATCTTTGAGTTACAATTTCTCATTCATTCATTCATCAATTTTGACAAATAAATATATGGTTTTGATGCTCTCACGGAGTAGAACAATGATCAACTTTGATCTTCTAAATTAGACCAACGAGTCCCACTGAAAATCTTGTCAAAAGTGAGTCATTTACTCATTTTTTCCAATTAGCTCCTGTATGACGGTTGTCAACAATTCACTGTACGCAAAGAATTGTTCAAGAATTTTTGGGCAAATCATGATTTTGCTAATGAACGCACAGTCCTTGATTGCATTTCTTGGTCTCTGCACTATTTGCACCTCAGAAACTTAACATCCCCTGGACCATTAACAGGTGATTAATTATTATTATATTGGACACAATCAAGAAATTCTTACTCTTCTTAGTGTCACGAGTATGATTTTACTCAACAATTGCATAATATATCAACATCGAAAAATCTTTCAAGATCTTTAAACAACTATTGAATAATTAGTTGTTGAGACCAATGTTTTATATGATATTGAGAAGTCGCAGGTAGACAGCTTGACTAGTGTTCATTGTCAAGTTGTCAATTCTACTTCGTGTTAAAGTGATCATTCTTGACAGCATATAACGAATGAGATCGGTGAAAAAAAAAGGGACACTTTTGGGTTTGGAAATGTCACATTTATGGCGCATTTTAGCAACTTATTAGGGGCTTTTACTAGAATGTGCTCAATGTGGACTATTATCTCACAATTATAAGCCATATGTTGGTAAAACGACTCTGGCGTTGTTGTCCATGTCAATTTAGTTTTTTTTTTCATCAATTTGGTGCCCCCAAAAAAATTTACAATTAATTTTTTCTTTCATTATTTGGTGCCCTAAAAATTAAGAAAATGACCCACAAATGGTCCTTTCTAAATTATTAGGGTAGGTAACACATATATGTCATACTTTCCGAGTCTAATTTAAGGACGAAACTATTTATAGGGTCAATCGGTTTTTGCTTGTCTCAATAAACTTTGAGAATAATTGAGTGGTTGATTAATTAAAATCAAGGAAAGCTAATCAAATAAAGTTGGTCTCCTTTTCAAATGGTACATGCATTAAGTATCCTAAAAATGTTTAATCAGAGGCAGATTCAGGTTTGGACTAAAACTTTTTTAAGCCGGGCTAATATTAAAAAAATAAAATTACACATAAAATTTATTTTTTACTTGCAAAAAAAAAATTGGTTTACTAAAAAATTTGTAGTGGACCCTTAAATCTGCCTCTTATTTTTTCTTACTAAAAAATTTAATCTGGTATGTGACTAGCGTACCAATCATGATTCGTGTACCCAAAGTTTGACAGTTTGTCACATGACAAACTATCAATCGTCGATTAAAAAAAAAAAGTTTTTCCATTCATAATTTTTTGAAAGCAAAGACAATGTCAACAATGATAAGAGAAGAAAGTACAAATGGCAAAATTCATGGCATGTACATCGTGGCAATCGACTCGAGGCCTCTCACATTGATACCACTGCGAGATTGTACCTCCAAGCCACCCTGGAAATATATAATAATATACGTAATGATGGAATCCTGATGGAGATATGGCAGGTAGCGTTTATTCTTTGGACTTAATATTTCTTTTGTATCAATTGGAGACAAAATCACCAGGAATCTAGCTTTTTTGCTGCTTATTTTCAGAACCATAACCGAATAAGAAAATGAGCGAAAAAGTTGTTTAAGAAGGGGTGTAAGAGTAGGGTCCACCTTCACAGAAAACCAGGGAAGAACAATTTTCTTTGAATTTTTCTGCTTCTAGTTACAGCTGCACAAGCTTTCTTTCTTTTAAACTGATTTAGCAGTATTCACACATGTAAAGTCATGCTTTTGGCATTCTCTGAGGATATATATATATATATATATATATATATGTATCAACATGATTCCAAGAATTCACAGATGAAACCAGTTTCTGAAGTTGGGTTTTGCTGCTGCTGAACCACGTTGCCCCACCCGTACCCATCCCATTGGAAAATTTTGTTGCTTTAAGCTAAATTAATCATAGAAGGGTACTTGTTTTAGCTAAAGTTCATTGACTTTGCTCCGGGTTCCGTTGGTAATGGGGATTGAAGACTAATTTTGAGAGAATTTGTTGGATTGGCTTGGCTAAGATCATGTAAGTTTCTATATACCCAGATATTTTGAATTTACAAATTTTGGTTTCATTTCCAGATGATTTTACTGTATGCCTTTCTTTTGCTTTTTCTAAATTTTTAAAGTTTTAAGCATTATTGATTATTTCACTTCATGATGTAAACATATCTTTTCCCTAATTTTGACCACATGGATTCTATATTTCTTTGGCTACTGTGATTTTGCATACTTTTCAATTGAAGTTGAATTGGTTCTAATTCCTGAATCTATTTGAAGATATAGAATAAGTAAAGGTAGATTATAACTTCCAATTTCGGTGAAATTATTCAGCAATCGGCGATCTTATAATAATTGAGCAATGGATAAAAAATGGGTCTCAGGTTTGATTTTCGCTATATCCGAGGAGAATAGAGAATATCCAACTTTTTTGGCAATTGCATTTTTTGCCCTCAATAAATTTATTCGTAGAATATTTGACATTTCAATATTAAAAACAGATTCTAACTGGCAATTTCTCTGTGAAATTGTTCAGAAATAAGATTTGGCTATGTTCAAGTAGAATATAGTTTGTAAGCTGTCTTTTTGGCATTTCTTGTGCATTTTATACAGCTTTTTATTGCTGTTGAATTGGTGATAATTCATGAATAATTTCTCCGTGATATCGTCAGTCGTCTTGTGATTGAGAAATGGATGAAAAGGGGGTCTCAGGTTCTTTTGTTGTCATATCCAAGGAGAATAGTGATAGCTTGTGTCCGATGTTTTTTGGCGTTTCCTGTGCATTTTTTGCTCTCAGACTCTTGCCAGAGCCTGATATGTGTGATGATAAATGGTCTGAAATAAGAAATAGGATGCTTCAAGGGAGTGCTCACCTCTTGGGACTTCTGGTGTGGAGAGTTCAGAGGGAAGAGGTTGAGTCAGGGAAGTCTAAGCTTCTCCACAAGCTCGAGGCTGCAAAAAAAGAGGCTGAAGAATTGAAGAAAATACGAAGTGAAGATGCAAAAGCTAATGAGAAAGTTGTCAGCATATTTGCTGCCCAAGAACAGACTTGGTTCAATGAGAGAAAGAAACTCAGACAGCAAATTGGTGCTCTTGTGAATGAATTGAGAGTACTCGAGACGGAGAAGGATAAAACTATTTCAGAATTAAAAGGAAAATTGCAAGAGAACGAAGTTTTAATGCAGTCGAAGGATAAATCTGTTGAGGAAAAGGAGACTAGGAGTCGGGAATTAGAGGAAAATCTGAAGAAGGCTGAAAACCTGGTGGAGGAATTGAGAGCAGCTGTCAAGCGTGAAGCTCAACTACACTCCAATGAAATCTCAAAGCACAAAACTGCATTTATTGAGCTCGTATCAAACCAGCGACAGCTTGAAGCGGAGATGGGACGGGCTCTTAGGCAAGTCAAAGTAGTAAAGCAAGAGCTTGATTCAGTACTAGAGCAGAAGGAGAAGTCTATTTTGATGACCCAAAAATTATCCTTGGAGCTTGTAAAATTGCGAAAGGATTTGGAACAGAAAGACCAGATTTTATCAGCTATGCTTAGAAAGTCCAAATTGGATACAGCCGAGAAACGAATGCTTTTAGAAGAAGTAAAATTATCGAAATCTAAAAGAAAGCAACTTGAGCTAGAAACAGCAAGGTGGAAGGAAGTTTCTGAGTCCAGACATGAAAGAAATTCATTAAGAAATATGTTGTCTAAGCATGTAAATTCAAAGTCAGATATACATTCAGTTGGCGAAGTGGTACATTCAAAAGCAACAATGCTACTGGACATTGGAAAACCCCGTTCAGAGAAAACTGACTTTCTTTCTGAGTACAACCAGCCTAACTTTTGGAAAGGTCCAGAAGCATTTTCTCCTGTATCTGAGCCACACTCAACTGATGGAAGTGAGGAACAGAGTAAGATCCTATTCTCGATTTCCATACTCAAATTGACACAAACTGATGGGGTAAATGGGCTATCATTGGTGGCCACCAATGCACTTTGCAGGGGTGCCGTCTAAGGTCAGCCCATATAGTTGAGCCCACGTCGTAATTTGTGACACACAATCAATTTTTTCTTAAGCAAAAGATAAAGATATGAAACCTGCTTAAACATTCTGATTTGATCAATCATCTCAGTTCATCAAAATTTAAGAAGATACAAAATTGTCTCTTTTGTTTTACTTTAAAAGTGGATTCCATTATTGATAATTTTTGCCTTAACTTGCAATTTGAAGAGTTTACAACTGATATTCTGCACTTGGAAAATTGGGTCCAATCCGAGTCTGAAAAATGCAAGATTGCAATTCAAGAGAGACATCATATTGAAATGGATGCTTTTGCTGAACAACTGAGACTGAAAGACAAAAAAATAGAAGCTCTCCGTTGGCATTTGTTGAGCATGGAACTGGAATCAAAGAGGTTTCAGTCGCACGTTGAGGGGCTTGATCACGAGCTGGCTCGGCTCAGGCAAGATAATCCGAAGTTGGAAGCAAGATTGCTGAACCGAGAAGCAGAATTACATTCTCTGAAAGAAAAGTTGGCTTTGTTGTCAAACTCACCAGATTTTCAGAAAACTAAATTCAACTCATCTCTGCACAAGGGAGCTGAATCCCGTGATCCTGTTTGGTCTAAAGTAAAGATCATAAAAAGAAAACCTGGGAAAAAAGAGCAAGAAACGAAGATGAAACCTGAGGCAATATCGCAAGCCGTGGCAATTGAGGAGGAAAATGAAACCTCGGAAAATAGGCATCTCAAGGATATCGTTTTGACACTTGAATCTCCGCAGAAGGAGATAAAAGAAGGGGAAGTTGCTGCCTTTTCCAAGGATATTTTGAGTGCTGAAACATCAACTTCAATAGGACAGGGTATAGGTACGAAAACTAATCCTTCATGGAAGGTGGATCTTCATGCTCTTGGTGTCTCGTACAAAATCAAAAGGCTGAAGCAGCAATTACTCATGCTTGAGAGGTTAACAGGAAATCAAGAAAGTTGTGAAAATGGTGAAAGCAACAATGATATACAATTTGGGATAAAGGGATTTTATGCACTCATGTCATTCTTGAATAAACAAGTTGATCGATACCAGTCCCTTCAGGGAAATACCGACGATATTTGCAAACGAATCGTATGCTCCAATCTTAGTATTTCCTTCTCTCATTTAATAATTTGAGTCACTTCATGTTTTGTCGTCATTTTTAAGAATTTCATTTGGCATGTCTAATAGGGAGGGTTGGATAATACTAAACAATATTAAAAAAGAACAAGAAAATAAAATCATGTTGTTATACTATTCAGTTTATCCAATACTGTGTACCGAACATACACTAAAGGATTCTGTTCTAAGCGTAACTTAAATGAATTGCAGCAGGAGAGTGCCCTGGATTTCAACAGTGGAAGTTCTAAAATTGCTAGAACTGAGGAGGAAACCAAAAGGCTGGAGCTCTTTCTTGAAGAAACCTTTAAGCTGCAGCGATATATTGTTGCAACAGGGCAAAGACTAATGGAAGTCCAAACTAAGATTGCTTCCGGCTTTGAAAGGGACATAGAAGAAATCGAAAAGCCTGCTAATTTTGACATGAAACGATTCGCTGATACTATTAAAACTCTTTTCAGAGAAGTACAGAGAGGAATTGAAGTCGGAATATCTCGACTCATTGGGGATCTTGAGGGAACCCTTGCATATGATAGTATCGTCCATTTCCAAAAATAGCGACAAACTGTGGATAGTGAAAGAAGAGGCCAATACAAAGGTTCTTGCCTTGATAGTGAAAGAAGAGGCCAATACAAAGGTTCTTGCCTTGCCATTTTTCTAATCCTTTGTGGAACTTTTATGGTGAATATGTATAGCAAAGAAGCTGTTCTAATGTATTAAATTATTCATCCAACTATAGTGCTTAAAATGAGTAAAAATACATAGATGATTTAGAAACAATGGAGCTGGAGCCCTTTTATTTGGAACGTATATGCTTGAATCATATTGTACATCCAAAATGTACAGCATTGTTAACATTCAATGGGGTGTAAAAATCTATGCCATTGATTTTTTTAAGTGTAGTTAAAATCAATGGTAAATATGTTGGTCATCTCACACACTATCAACAAAGTTGTACCTGTAGTAGAACTGTTTATGCTTTGGTTCTTTCAATATGCCATATTACACGTGAAAGGCCTATTCATGGATTTATAGACACATTGAGCAGTCTTGTTTTAAAAGTGATTTCTAGTTTCATTTTGTGGTATTCTTATCCAACTTTATTGTGTACAAAGGTACTTGTTTTGCACATGCTTAGTACGAAAAATTCAATATGATTAAGTAAGATTGATATATACGATAAAATTTATCAGTTGTCTTGTCTAACTCAGCATACCACAATATGTGTTATTAATGGACTATAGTATAATTTAGAGAGGGGATAATTGAACAAGGCTTTTACTCGTTAGGAGGCTCGTAACAAGTGAGTTTAAACTGAATGAGGTTGTTTCTTTTGCTCGGCCTTAAATAATGATGGAAAGGGGCAATGGTTGAGAAACAGAAACGTCCAGTATATTATTGCTCAATCTAGCATATTGAACAAGCCAATATTGCATTAATCGGGAAGAATCTCATGCATTGAATAGGATTAATAAGAAGTGCTTAATGAGATAATAAGTTGTTATGTAGTTGAGATGTGACAAACTAAAGCAAGTTGAATACGATAGCTGGGAAAGATTATGGCTCGTATTAGCTCTCTATCTTCACTCACTCAAAACATCTGCATGTGTTCCCTCTTTTTAGTACACAGCTTTAAATAGTTGTAGCTACCTTATGTTGACTGCCGTGGATTTATTGACAGGGCCAATTTAATGATAAATTGAATTTGCACTAGTTAGAAAGTTGGTCAATATAGTTTCACACCTTCATTTTATAAGGTGCTAAATTTACAGGGTGGAGCAGTTTTAGGTATAGATTTATTCATTATCATTAAATTATGGGCATCAACAAAATGGTCATGTCGGTCCAGGCCAGCCTACCTTCATCCACCTTTGCTTCAGGCTCGGTATAAACTTGAATTGAGACATGCAAAACTACCGTCTGAATTGTTTCATAACTGTGGACCCACTAGCATTGCAGGCTAGAGAGAAATTTCAATAGGGCGGTCGCACCGCCACTATCAGGGTGCGCCACCTGGTGGGCAGGGACGGTCCCACTTGAGGCCGAGTGGGGTCGGCTACCTCAACTCGATTTTCAAATTTTTCATTTTTCTTGAGGTTTTTTCAAGTTTTTCAGGTTTTTTCTTATGCTTTTTTGATTTCGTCCCCATTGAATTTTCATCATGGGTCCATCCCTATTGGTGGGTAGCCCACCATCCATGAGGTGTGTCTGATTTTAATCTACGTGGGCAATGTCTTCTTATTTTTTTCTCCTTAGACATTTTAATGCAATGAAAAATTAAAAAATATTCGCAATTATATACTTGCGGTGGCATTACTCGTGAAGTTGAAGCGCGTAGAGCGTTTTTTACCTTCTCATATCCAGCAGTAATTCACCAACCCGAGGGGTGAGTTGCTATATATATACACACACACGTATAGATAATTATAATGCAGACAAAATTATAATGGGTTCTAGTCCGAAACTTTCTTTATCTAAACTTCGACGCAAGCCACGAGAGCCTCTAGAATTGCAAACACCGACACTCGAATCTTTAGTTTCCATCCCATTTCACTGGGAGGAGGCACCGGGAAAGCCCAGAACCACCGCCACCATTCCATCGCCACCACCTAATGACAAAACTGCCCGCAGGTGCTTAGACCTTCCTCCTAGATTGTTGAATGATGCAGCAAAAATTACCAATACACCCTCCCCGACAACCGTTTTGGATGGAGCTTATTTGGGTCCATCTGTGTCTCGGACTTTATCGTTTTCTTTCCGAAAAGTGTGGCACGGGGGCTCGGAAGAGAGGTCCAAGAAGGGAGGGAGTGGTGTTAAGGACAGGTTGAGCTTTGGTTCTTGGAGATGGGAGAGCTTCGAGGAAGACACGAAAGTTGTTAGGGATAATTTTGACATTTCAGTTAGTGTAAATAATGCTTGTGAGCCTGAAATTAGCAGGAGAAGCAGCTTCTTGACTTTCTCTAGCAAGAAGTCATTGTGGGTTAGTGTCAAAAATCTTTTTGATAGGATTATATAAATAAAATTTTAAGAATTCATCGATCTGATTTTATAGTCTTTAGCTACTGGCTTTTCGCTTTTTCTAAGAAAATATTTTTGGATCAAATTTAATAAATTAAAAGTTACGCCATCACGAAAAGCTCCCACTACTCTCTTGTCTTGCCTCCCATGGAACCTCGAGCAATATATTTAGGGCCCGTTTGGTAGGAATTTTGAGAATTGATTTTTTGACCGTTAGAAGAAAAGTGGGGTCCACATGTGAGAGAAGAAGTCAAAAATTACGGCTTGAATAGTAAAATAACGGTCAAAAATTCAATTTTTTGGAGCAAAAAATCCATACCAAACGGGGCCTTAGACCATTTTCAAGCTAGTCTAGATTCTTTAGATATTGAGTCATTGATTTGTAATTCTGTGCGCTAGAGGTTACAAACTTATTTTACAATATAATTTTTCTATTTTGGTATTTTTAAGAACAAAGAGCGCATTTAAAAAATTTATTTTATTCAATTTTTTAAGTTAACTAAACTAAGGCGGTGTTTTGATTGGAGGTGGAATTCCATGAAAAATGGAATTGGAATTCCACTTTCCAATTTAACTTTGTACGATCGTATTTTTTTTAGCTTAGAATTGAATTTCTAACTTGAGTGCCACATAAGTCAAATTTCACCAATTCAATGAATTGGAATTCTCACCAAAATGGTGAGAATTGAAATTCCCGGTGATTGTAACATTTTTTATTTTTTGCAATAGGAACAAATTATTAGAATTATTGTAAAAAAAAAAATCTCTCTTTAATTGACAATTTTCATGTAAAATAAAGCCAAAAGAAAGATGTTTTTCTTATTATTATTTTTTTTTTGGCAATGGAACCAAATTTCAACCCCTATATCAGTAAAATCTATCACTTTAATTAACAATTTTCATATAAAATAAAGTCAAATGAATACTAAAAAATATTTTTATTTCAATGAATTCCACGCGAAAAATTATACCCAATCAAATAGAATAATTTACAATTCCCATAAAAGCAATTCTAGTCAATTTAATTCCCTGAAATTCATTTTCTTTCCACCCAAATTTTATTTTTGCAATCAAACGGACCCTAAGTGATTAAATAAAATGAAAAATCAAGAAAAAATAAAAACTGGCTGACTCTAATAGGATTATCAATTGTGTGCAGCAAACAATTATGAAAATGTAAACGTTGTCAATGATTGATGAGCCGACAAATGCTTTTGCAGCCCATCCGAAAATATTATCGAAATGATATTTCTTTCCCGTATTTCAATATTTGTCAGATTATTAATAGTACCTTCTTGGAACTTTATGTTCAAAATGGTGCTCAAGAAAGATAAATTTTGATCGAACCTATATTTACTCAATGGATACAATTGGCTCATGGGAAAATTCATATTGGTTTTGGTGTATTTTTACCTTCAACGAGCTTTGGGCATGCGATGCGGGTTGATATCAAAATATAATTATTGTTATAGATAATATTTTAGTGTTATTTATATCGATTTTCCACAATGATGATGATGATGATAATAAGGCCCCAAGCCCACTTAAAGTTTTAATCTGCACACTTCTTGGATTTGGGCCAATGTGGTCCGGGTTTGATAGTCGTTAGATTGATGTGAATAAATTCAAGTGGAAATTACATGGCAACAGTTGTTTTAAATTTACAATTCATATATCAGGTATGAAGTTTATTTGTTCAAATATCATGTATTAATTTAATGATAAAACCACCCACCCCCAAATCCTAATTATTCTTATTTCCTTCTCTCTCTACACTCCCTTCTTTTTCTTATACCGTCAACTGCAGCATGACAACACAGTTCGCACAACGATCTGAGTTCACATAGCATGACAAGGCCCAGCCATTTGTCATCCACTTTTTCAAAGATCGCCTTGTGCCTTCGATGCTCAGTGCAGACGATGATCTGAGTGTTGTAGTGACGATCTAAGTGGTGTTTTTGAGGTGGTGGGTTGATTGTGGAGGTGGCGATGGTGAATGTGGTGGTGTAGTGGTTGGTTTCTGTTGGTCTGTGTTTTTGTTGAGTTCCGATAGTCCTGATTTGTGGAAATGTGGTCACGTACTAGTGCTGAAAATTTGGGGTGAGTTTTATTGCTTGTGTGCAGTTGATAGTGGTGGCCGTGTGGTGGTGGTGGTGGCTATGAGGTGATAGTGGTGCAGGTTGTTGGTGGTGGTGCGTTTCTGTTAGTGCTGGAGATAGTTGTTCGTGGAGAGCTGATAGTCGTGGTTGTGGTGGTGGCGGGGTGAGGGTGGTCGCAAGTGGCCATAATGACAGTGACAGTGGTGTTGTTGGCAGTGGTTGTGATGGTTTTGTGGCTAGATGGGTAATGTTTCTGACTAAGTATTGACGATAAATCGGGATCGGGGTTGGGTATTCTGTGTCTGCAACCAAATATTTGGTCCTTTGTTACTAACTATTAAATTGTGACCTTAAAATTCAATAACTTGTAACTAAAAAAATAATTTGTGATCAACAAATTTGAAAATATGTGATCAATAAATAAACTGTAACCTATAATTTTTTTTTTATTTGTGACCAATGAAATAAGCTATGACTTATAAAATTAAATTGTGATCTATAAATTTTTTGATTTATGGCCTCGACATAATCCGTGACCAATCAATTTGATAATATATGACCAATAAATAAGTTGTGATATATAATTATGTTTCTGTGACCATTAATTATAGGGAAAATTGTAGCAGCTATCCTTAACTTTTTCATTTTTTGCAGACTTTACTCAACTTTCATTTTGTGCCAACGAAGATCCCTAACCTTTCATAAATATGAACATGAGGTCCACATGGACGGAAACCGTCCAAAACACAATCAATTGATCGAAAAAATTTTCTCGAACAATTTGCTACAGCGACGATTTTATTGGATGTTGATGCTTTTTTGGCTGGTACTTCCTCCTCAATTTTTCTGGTCAGCTAACGATGTTTTGAATGATTTCCGTCCAGATGGACTTTAGTTGCATATTTAGGAAAAGTTAGGGGTCTCTGCTGATACAAAATGAAGATTAGGGTAAAATCTACAAAAATTAAAAATGTTAGGGACCGCTGCTGCAATTTTCCCTTAATCATATAATTGTGACTTTATTATATTTAATTAATAAATATTTTTAATTAATTACCTCATACTTGAGTTTTGCATTTTCGAACTATATACTTGAATTGTGATTTGGTGTAAACTAAATCACTAAGTTATGATTTTTTTTCTTCCCTAAATTCAATTTATAACTAAATATTATACAATCTCAAAATTTTCATGTAGTATCCATGTCAAGTTCGAACAAATCACTCCGGTTTTTGTGACACCCATCTGCCCATTCACGGCAACAATTACATTCTTCTAAATAATAATAATAATAATAATAATAATAATAATAATAATTCAAAAATAACAATAGTTCACTTTAGAAGGTTGACCATATCATAATAAGCATCATTTTAAAATAATTTATTCTATTAAATTGGAAAAATAAGTACTATTTAAGAATGCGCTAAATATCCTAGGGAGACTTAGATGGTCAGATTTCTATCCTACTAGAGAATTATGTTATGTGCATATTTTAGTTGCTTTTTATATTAAATTGTGATAATATTAACATGAAATCTATACCGAGTGTATTAGTATGCTCATTTCATATTATAAATTATTTTTATAGATGCTTGATGGATCGGAATTTAAGGTTGAGACTGTCGACAGAGTCTATGTCGTTGGATTAAGAATTTTATTTTCTTTCAATACTTAGCATTTAGTATAAAAATATTTTGCAATTAAATTTATTTGATATATTATGAGACAATAAAATAACTTATTTATTCCTCAAAATTTCTTCAATTTTTTTTTTTTGAGTAAATCCACTTTTCTTACGAATAAAGAAATTAATTGAGTAACCTCCGGGACATACATTTCGAGATGTTACAGCATGGTATCAGAACCTAGTCAATATTTTCTTTATATTTTGTGAAATTAAAATTTTAGATTTCTTTATATGTTAAAGCTTTATATAAATTTTGATTCACACGACATCGATACTAGCTTGATCAACATCTAACCAACAATTTAAGGTATGAAAACACTTTAGTTTTAAAGTTAACAAGTGATCAAATAAATGAAGGAAAATTTGTGCATTACACTTCTCCTCCTATTATTGCACTTCATTGTTTTGGTGTTAATTGCACCTCACTATATTGTGGGGGAAATTATTAAAATTTTCATTATTGGGGTCAACTAACGATTTTTGTGGTCAAATCATTTTGGATTGGATCTGCAATTTTTTTAGAGTATTGGTACCTCGGTGGTACAAATGAAAGGTTTGGATCAAGTTTGCTAATAAGAGAAAGGTTTGGTACTTGACTGCAATTTTTCCTTGTATTTATTTGATATACTATGAGACAATAAAATAACTTATTTATTCCGCAAAGTTCAATATTTTTGTATTAAATCCACTTTTCTTAGGGACGAAGAAATTAATTGAGTAACGTTGGGACATAGGTTTCGGGGAGTTACAATTTGTGTCTTTTCTGCTTCCGTTTCCCCTCTTCTGCAAATTGCGTGGTCCTTCAACCTCAAATACCCCACAAAACGACCCAAAAAAACTGTCGTCTTTCTTTTGTTAAGTCAAAATCTTTGTACCAAACAACATTGGTCTCTGTCAATATATGTTTTCGTTTGCTTTTCTTCTAAGCTATACTATGTGACAAAAGTTGAATGTGAAAGTGGGTGCCCGGTCTATACTTTATATATCACTACAGTGAGGATAAATTATGTAGCGTTTTTGCTTGTGAGTTTTTCTTTGATCGCTCGGGAAGTTGGGGAAAGTTCAGAATTTAGAAGTTGAGTTCATGATTAATTTCTTTGACTTACATGTGTAGAATTTCACCCTGAAAGTTATTTTTTTGTTGTCTTTTGGATTTCGAATGCAAAATTGCAACCATTTTTCATGTGTTTTTAGATACGAGATTTATACTATTTTATGTTGGAATATGCTTGTGCGATGAACAATTAGAGTGTACTAGACAAGAGTGTCTTTTTGGAATTCATTAACTCTCCCGAACTCAGCTTATGACTTTCGAGCTTGAGCTCACAGGAGATCAACTCTTCTTAAAATTTTCACTCCAAAGGTGTTGAATTAGACTCCCATTTTAACTAAAGATTCTTGTAGTTCTTGAGGTTCCAGCTAGAGCAAATTATGTTTCATTCTTAATAAATTTGAGATCGACTAGGAAGTAGATGAAGCTATGGAAATAATTATCTTGGTTTCGCTAGCTTACTTCTGTTTATCTTGATGTTAATTTATTTTTGGGCTGTTCATTTTTAGTGCTAGAATACAGGACATGCCACTTGGCGTATCCAACAAGCACCAGAAAAGTGCCCATGGCATGTTAAGCTCCCGTTTGCCCCCATTTTTTGAAAATGAAAATGAGTAGAAAAAATGAGTGTTTGAAAAAGAAGGAAACGTTTTCGATTTACGTGTAATATTATTTTATGAAAGATTGTGTGGTCGAAAATAGGAGAGAAAAAAATGAAATATAATAAAATTTAATGTAATAAGATTGTGTATTTTTCGATACGAGATTTATACTGATTTGAAGTAGAATATTTAAAAAGTAGGATACGCCCCCGCGGTTGTCTCAAATTTCGTGGAACACAGACACGCCAGTGCCAAAGCTCATAACTATCTTTATAATCAGAAGCATGGCTTTAATGTAGACAGGAATGGTTGTTACAGGATAAGGACTTTCTAGCTACCACTTGGTTACTCTTTCATAGATACAATTACTTCAACTGCTTCAATGTCCTTCCCTCGGGAGCCGTCCAGTTTTGAGGAGATATCTAAGCAAAAGAGCATCCTCTTCTCCGATGGCCTTAAGGTATTTTATGTTCTTTACTTATATATAGCTCGTGGGCAATAGCTCCACCCCCGATCCCGACCCTATGGTTGGGGGGAGGGGGTCGTCTCACAAATACACATATGTTCTGTTATGTTTATGTTTCAATGTCACTTTTGAGTTTTGAGTCCTAAGTGCTACTTTGTACTCCCATTATTTGTGAGTATTGTATTATGGAATGTTAATTGATGTTGAAATGTGTGGTTAAAAAAAAGAAAAAAGTTTTTGATTTACGTGTAATATTATTTTAATGAAGAATGTGTAGTTGAAAATGAGTATTGTAGACAAAATTAGTATAGTGTTGCACGGACATTTTAAATAGGGTGCTATGTCCGTGTCCGACCTTCTCGGACAATCTATCGCGGTCATTTTCCTTTATGTAACATAAATATTATATTTTTTACTCAAAGTTATTATTAAATAAAAGATAGGTGCTCATATTTAAATTTTAAAATATTTCAACAAGAAAATTAACAAGTATAAAACTAAGCCTATGTTTGGCCCCATTTTTTCAAAAACTTATTTTTAACCAAATATTTTTCCATAAAATAATACACGTAAATCGATAACATTTCCTTATTTTTTAATCACAAATTCTCCAAAAAAATCACTATTTAAGAATATATTTTCTAACCAAAATGGGCTAAAATTATAAGGATATAAATGAAGAGTTTAAAAAAAAATTAATATATGTATCGAAGACATTTCGTTGTTAAATACTTTACAAAACTGCATGTTGAGGTGTCCATGTCGGTGCACCGTGGCCTAAGTAAGACGAAGAAAACAAAATCTAAAGAAGTAGAACTTGAATATGACAAGTGGTGCTGGTAACTGTTTGTTCTCGTGTTGCATCTTGATGCAATTATCACTGGAAAATCATGATATTTCTGTTTTGCTTTTAACGAAGCATATATTTGAACATTTTTGCTTTTTGACTCTCCTAAATGCAGTATCGAATTTTTACATATTACATTTGTTTGCTTAGGATTTAGGAATTATCAGGAAACAACTCTACTCAGCTGCAGAGTATTTCGAGTTTTCTTGTACCAACGATGACCAGAAACGGATGTAAGTTGTATTTGAAGAATTTCGTTTTCCCGTTTGTGGTCAAATCGTTTACTTGAAGATGATTTTGTATTTTTATCTAAATTCTTGAATGTACAGAGTAGTGAATACATTGAAGGATTATGCCATTAAAGCTCTTGAGAATACGGTAGACCATTTGGACTCTGTGTCCTATAAGGTGAATGATTTGTTGGATAAGCAGGTTGATGAAGTTACCAGAACAGAGCTCCGTTTATCATGTATTGAGCAGGTAACTTATCCAACCATGTTCGAAAACTATAGAGTTACTTAAAAGTAACTTTTAATTTTTAACCGTAGCTGAATATGATACTAGTAAGAAATTGGCGATGTTTACCTTTTTGTTTTAAAGACTCACCAGACTCCATGGAAGAAAGTTAATTACGCATTGATATATTTATTGAATCATGTTGTTTTTCTTAGAGGCTAAAGACATGCCAGGAGGGCCTTTCTCAGCAGTCACTAGTGATAAACGCTCCCAAGTACCATAAACGGTACATCTTGCCAGGCAATTACACTGAACTACGATGTTTTGTGGATAATTTTGATCTGTTTTTATGCTTCTTTCATGATGTTTTTCGTTTATGTTAGGATTACGGATCGCAAGATATGACAATAATGAAATAAAGCAGAAAAGTAAATAACACAAAGATTTACATGAAAATTTAATTAAGGAAAAAACCACGGGTAGAGAAGGAGAAAATTCACTATAATCAATAGAAATATGTTTACAATATCAAGACTCAATACTTTCAATTAAACCTAAGCTCTTAAAACTCAATGCATTCAATTGAATCTAAGCTCACAAGATGTTGTAGATTTGTTCTCTCAAGGTTTTCTCTCAAAAATCATGATAACTCTCATATATATTACAAAGGACGACGTTTTGTATTTATAGAGACGCCAAAAAACCTAGTTGTAGACCAATAGGAGTTCAAAACGAGAAAAAACAAGGAAAATACGTCACTCGAGCGGCGTCGAGCGACAAGCTTATTGCTCGAGGCGAGAAGCGGGCGATGATTGTTCTGCTACAAACGCTCGTGCATCCAGCTAGTGAAAATGAGGCAATAATTTGTCCGGCACATAAGTGGATTTCTCCAAGATCAACCCAACTACTATTCCTAAACCCCAAGAATTTGGGTCACAATACAACAGTTTATGTGATAGAGATTTCACTGTTCATTTATCAAGAAGTGTTTCGATTTTTCTATTTAGTGGGGGAGACCATGCATGGTGCGATCCATACTATGTTGAAGTTCCAAGGATGCAGCCTAGACGATGAAGATGACTGGCATCATTTTAAGAATGGTAATTCACTATTTGCCGTATCTTCTGTTTCAGTCTCGAGTTCGTTTCACTTTGAACCTATTGGCGTAACTCACTAACTCTGTATCTTTTTCACGAGAGTCAAATGGTCTAGTTGTTTTAAATCTTCCACTAAAGTCAGCAATAATTAGAATGGGTAGGCGAAAATGAATTCACTCATGACCTTACAAGTTTATTGGAACTCAAGCTTTGATTTGTCGTCGTGCATAATGAGCTAATTCTATTGCAGCTATTCGAGCTACAATTGGAGATACTCCATCATCGGTAGTCTTGTGAGTTCGATTGTCATGTATTTACGTTCATCTTATCTGACCGTTTAAATTACGAGGAGATGAAGATGTTTATGTTGGTTGACTCACAGTAAAGGACGCTCTCCTTCACCTTCTCCACGATTTGCTCAGCAACCCGGAAACTTTTCATTCTCTGGTACCATCGCCAGAAAAGATATAGGTTTGATCCGGCCATTGGTTTTCGTATTGAAACTGTTGCCATCCTTTAACCTTACAATTTTCACATTTTCCGCTCTCTTTCAATTGTATAACGATTCTTGTGAGTACTGATTTTTCTGCTCTTTGCATTGATACACAAGAAAAACGAACAGTGTCACCACCCCGGTTTCCCCTTTTGCGTTCGAGATCCATCTCTAGTAAGCCAAACACGCCAAAAAGTTCCCAGCCGGCAACCTCAAATCGGAGTCGGTCAACCACTCCAAATCCTTCTTTTGGAAGACAACAGGTGTTCTTTTCTTTCAATGAACTTCTTTTATCATTTTCGTCAATTTACGTTAGCTGTTTCTCTTGACAGTACATTTCAGAACCTCGAAAATCTGCTTCACTCCGCTTTCACGTTGAGAAAGAAAACCCGCAAGATATAGAACAATTTCCGAGCAAAAGTAAACGCATTTTGAACGCATTGCTCAGTCGAAGCGAGTTGAAGAAAGACGAGACGTTGTACACTTACTTGGATGAATATTAATTACGGGAACATAAATGAGAAATGAAAAACGATCTCACTTCTCAGCAGCATTTTTTTTCTTGAATTCCACTATAGAGTCGTATAATTTTGTTTTCTTTTCCAGTTTTCAGTTTTCACCTTCCATTTTCACAATGTTCTTCAGCAGAATTGTAGCTGTACATAATATGGTCTATATAAAGTGTTCACCTCCTCACATGGAGGGAAATCCACTTCAAATAAATTATATTTTATTGAAAGTGGGTTCCCTTCCATATAAAAGTGGTGAACACTGTTATGGATATTTTGATGTACGTGTAGCATCATCCCCTCTTGATTATTGCACTAGGTTGATTCAAGACTCAATTTGTTCAATTTCGAGCCTTTCCATACTTCCAATTGAAATTAAGCTTATATTAGTCCTTACTCTTTCGGGTAAACTGTCATATTGATATGGGGTTCCTACTCCCTCTTTAGTCGTTTCCTGCGTATCTCTTGTGCTATATTCTTTGTGCTTGTCCATTACTTCTATCAAAATGAAATTTATAAAATAATCTGCGGTTTGTTAATCCACACAACTATTAGTATGAACAAATAATAAGGAAATTGAAATCAGAAACAAATATAAATAACCATACAAGTTCACACTAAATAAGATTTTATTGTTAAGTTTTTCTTTAGTACTATCGAGTTCATCTTACCAAACACGTCATTGTTATTTCCACATAAAGAAACAACGCCATAGAAGGCTCTTCTGGATGGCTAGATTAATTGATGATGCACAAGGGCATCTCCGATTCCCAAAAAACAAGAAACTAACTGGAAACAAGAAAGAATACCAGTCCTGTATTTGTTCAGCTGCTAAGCTCAAAAGCCCTTTAAAGAGTCCTTATATTTGTGACCTGAAACTTTGTGTATCTATGGAAAAATTAAACCCGTTTTTTGTAATTTTGCTTGCATATATCTCATTAATTTCCAGTAAAAACATATGAAATTACTCATCTTATGAGCATTTCCAGCTTCAAGACTTGGACTAGTTGCCAATGAGAGAGCAGAGGTCAAAAAACACCACCAGATGAAACGAGCAGAGAGTTAAGGCAAAGTCAAGTTCCAGGCAGGATTAGCATAGCTCGACAACGCCAAGTAAAAATGGATGGCCTAAAAGACAGTCGGCTTGGGTTCTCAGCTAATGTCCAGTGCCCGACTGTGAAGGGGATGCTTCGGACCCCTTCCTCATCACGCAGTATTTAGATATGACGAAAGAGAATGGAGCTACGTCCAAATCCCTGCAGCATCTATCCCAAGTACACCCAGGGATGATCCTCACATAGTCGCGGATATTTGAAATGGATTATTCTAGGCATCTGCAGACGAGCAACCAAATGATGGAAGAACTATGTTTCAACCAGAGGTCACCAGGAACCATTTGCTATTTGCTTTTGAGCAAATTGCAAAACAAGAATTTCTTTGCTAAGTTTCAAACCGAACCACTTTACATAAGCCATTTCTCTCAAAAATGATTCTGCAAACAAACATCAGAACAAAGACAAAACATGTATTGAGGGAAATACAAATCCATTCTAGGATTTATCCAGAAAACTCAGTACACTGCACCATACAAACATTTCTTGGCATTACACTTAAATGACAAGTGATTTTCTATTTGTACATTCTGGCTGGTAAGCTTTCTTCTACGGGAAGGCAGGCAGCCGCACTGGTTGGGTAATGGAGCAGAACAATAGTCCGTAGGGCTAGAAATGGAAAACACAGTTCACTGACGAAAATCACGTTGCTTCTTCAATAGAGTCATGCATGCCTGATGACATCTAAGGGCCATCTTCACCGGCTGAATAAGTAGATACAGTGTCACATAATTGTACAAAAATGTACGCATACGACGTGTCTGGTATGCAGTTAGGCTGCATTTGGCACACAGGATAATATAATGCGGATGTCGGAGATGTGTTTGGGCTAGAAAAGAAAAGAAAAGAAAAGAAAAGAAAAGAAAAATGAAATTCTTTTGAATGTGAAATCAAAAAATACCATCCACCTTAATCCACTAATAACTCTACCTAGTAGGTAGAGTACTGAAGGTTATTCTTATATGGTCTAATCCTACGTGCCAAACGCCCTTAGTGTATAGGACATAAAGTACTAGTAGACAACATTTTAGATTCTTTTTCTTGCCTAGAATTGTCTAGTATGCATTCCATCTTACCAAACATACCAAGAGAGAAAGGGTAATAAGTTCAATTTTTCATTTTTATATCTATTTGTGGAAATTATAAAAATAGTCAATTTTTAACTTTGCATTTACAATTATGTCACTTTTTTTTTGGCATTGCAAGAATGTCAATTTTTGACATATTTGCCCCTCTAAAGAATCTCAAATACCCTACAGGTCCTAATGAAATGAGAAATGACCAATGGAAGAAATTGTACCAAAATTAAATGAGATTTGACTCATGTGCAGAAATTGTACAGAACCCTGCCATGTGAATTTGAAGAAAAAGGGAAAAAATTAGACCCAATAGCAATGGAAAAAGTTGTAAAAAAATCAGCCCCAATTTGTATACCCTCGTTCATACTCACTCTTCCTCTCTTCCTCTCTCTGCAGCCGGTGCATTCGAAGAGCCAAGAAGGTCGAAAGTCCACATCTCTTTCAAGTCGAAGCCCGCCGTCATCAACTGACCATCCACGCCGCTGCCTGCGTACCGTCGTTCATACTCACTCTTTCTCTCTCTGCGGCCAGTGCATTCGAAGAGCGAAAAATGTCGAAAGTCCACATCTGTTTGAAGTCGAAGCCTGCCGTCATCAACTCACCATCCACGCCGCTGCCGCGTAGCCCTGCCGTACTGGTATGAAATGTAATTTATATGTAATATGCGTATAGATTTCAATACTCTTTCTCTTTTTTTATTTTGCATCCAACAATCTGTTAAGTGAAGTGGGCTGAATTGGGGATATTTTATTGAAGTTTCGAAAACCATTTTGAAGATTGTAATGAAAATGCAATATCCAATTTTCAGTTTTATAAAGAAACTGTAGGGCGAAGTTAGAAATAGGAGATAAGTGGTGAAGATTTGACTTGAAATTTTCATGGAAAGGCTAGAATGTGATGTAATGACTCCATTATCTTCCTCTTGAAGCCATTATATGAATCTGATGAGGTCATTATCGATCCAACTCCAAGTTCTGCAAGTCCAGTAATTTGAGGAAGAAAGTTGGAGTCGTGTCTTGTTTGGATCTTAAAGGTTCTGTCTGAAATACATAAAAACTCTATTTCATAACGTGGTTTTGTTTTTCTTTTAAACGTTTTCCTAGGAAGATGGATTATTTTGAGGTTATTCCTTTTCATTTAACATCAAGGATTCTGCCTTCTATAGAGAAGAGGATGCACTTTTACAATACCAATAGCATTAATTGGAATTGGAGTTTTGCAACTGTCATTTAGGTTTAGGATTTTTAAGTTTTGTTATTGACACAGATTACAGAACGACAGACTAATTGGAGAATGTCTATGGCAATTGGACGAACTTACTTGTATGAAAACAATATTATGTATTTTGTGGATTCAATGAATTGGGTTTTGATTTGTTTTCCACGTTTCAATCAAGTATTGTAACTCAAACTCAAAGCAAAGGGGCCTTTTTTAAAATTTATTGTTGATACTCTAGATAAAACTCGAACATATATCTATTATTTATTAATAACAATTCTTTACTTTGAGATTAAGATTAATAATTTAGTATAATGACATAAAGAAACGTGACTCATATCTCATTGGAGGTTTACAGTTTACTGTTACACATCTCAATTGTAAGAAATATAGGAATTTTAGATATTGTAGTGGTCCAATTTTAAGATGTTTGACATAATTTGTAGGTGCGAAATGTATTTAATATATTGTCACGTTTAATCTAAATTTATCTTCCATAATTAATGTTATAGGTTAAAAAAATTTTCGTCGAAACTTACTTTTGTAGCGAATGATTTGGATAACGGCTTTCTGAGATCCTGTGGGTTGTGGGAGTTCATACAATGTTACAATTACGTTTGTTAGCATAAATTTCTGCTTCCATTTATTTTATTGTTGTTGTCCTTAATATATATTTTCGTTGTGGAGTTTAATTTCATAGTTATCATATGTAGGATGCTATTGAAGCCTTGGTAGAAGAGGCACTGCTGAAGCCAACACCACGTCGGAACTCATCGAAGATTACCCGAGCAACTAAAGTGTATAATTTGTCTCAAAAAGGTTCTTTTTTGTAGACAGAAAATTGTAGTTTTACTTTTTGTTATTTTCGTTATATGTTTCATTTTGAAGTTTGTATGTATATATTCCAATGTTAGTTCCGCGTTTTGAAATTATAAGATGCATTTGGCAGAGGAGGAGAAGCAAGATTAATGGCAACACAAAGTCGTTGCAAAATCTAATTCCAAATTCAAACAAGGTAGAAAGCAGAAATTATTTTATTTTCCTCTTTAGTATTTAGTTGAAGTGTTGATTTCATTAAATCTAATGGGGTTTACTTTGTTATTTCCAAATGTTTATCTTTTGCAATTGTGTTAGACGAACAAGGCTTCAATGCTGGATGAAGCAATTGAGTACCTCAAGCAGCACCAACTTCAAGTAGAGGTTTGCAGTTTTCCTGTTTTGTGGAAAATAAAAGAAAACGGTAGAAGTTTTGCCTTGTGGTAAAATGTTATTGTCAAAGCTTGGAAATCAATATGTTTGAAGGATTATTGCTAAATTTTTTTAATTCATGTGAATTATTAAGTTACTATTCCATTTGCTTATACTTTTGTAGTGCACTTGTCGAGTTTCGTAATCTTACTGGCAGGTTATTCATGGCATGATGAATTGGTGTTTAAGTGATTAATTGTCTTGTCACTGATCCACTTATGGCTTTTTTGGTTAAGTGATGAAACCCTCTTCACATTTGTTATTATCTGTCTTCCCATTTTCAAACATTTTGTGTTGTGTTATTATTATTATTCTCTGGGAATAAGACGGGTTGAAAATCTCGTGGACTAAGTTGGGGTTTGGTCTATGGGGTATGTTTTCCTATTTTATTGTGGCTGGGCTTTTGTTTGCATTGGACAGAAGACACGAACATCGAAACATGTTGTGCTTGTGGAATTTTGTATCCCTCTAATTAAATTTAATTTCCATGGAATGTCGATGTATAACTTTATACATACATGGGAATACTTGGTGCAGCCAATTCCCGCGACTGCAAAAGTCAATTAATGTAATACACGTTGTAAACAAGATTAGATTTTCGATGATTTCATTTGGTATAGGGAAAAACTCTCTCATGCTAGGATTTGGTTGCTCAATTTGATGGAATACCTAGGATGGAGAAATAGTTATTACTTTCATTTCATTGATAGTCTCAATTACTGTTGACCATATTGAGGTGTACAAAATGGTGTCATTGATTGTCTTAAGTATTCGTCAAATAGTTGAGGTGTATGAAATCACTTGCATACATATCCTTCACTGTTTCATATTGACTCTCCATTTATGCTCACTTATTTTAATTTGTTTCCTATTTTTGATAATAAGTATGATAACTTGAATGGCGACGAATCCGTAGGTCCTTTTCATTTTTTTTCAATTATGAACGTGTGTTTCTAACTTCGGTGCTGAGGTCATATTCCGGACACATTCATTGGTGTTCTATTCCAAGCCTCCCGTTTGTATATACCAGGTGAGGATTCATATCACTTTCTTTCATTTTGAAGTGGGTTAGACATATGGGGCATTTTTATAAGTAACCTACGTTAAAACATATGGGGCGTTTTTAAATGTAACTTACGTTAAAACCCATGCTTGTATGGTGACATATGCATAAATACAGTTGGCTATCTTTCCAGTTTCTAGCATGCATGTCTGCCTTCACACATCCTCCGTTTTTACTTCTGAAACATACTTGTATGTGGCACTGCCTAATATGTTCAACTTGCACCCCGCAGCACGCATACCAACTCCCAGTGAACTGTCGACCCCGACAGTTGAATCTCTATTTTTCTCGACAGTTAGCATTGCATGCGTATTTCAACATCAACCATCAGTATCGACAGATGTCCACAGATAATCTGTCGATACCGACATATGATCTCTGTAGTTCTCGACAGATCAGCGCATCCATGATGTTGAATCCTTATAGCGTTAGACATTATACAATATTTTTTATGTTTATAATCTAATCTCATGAGTTTTGTCAACGCACCTTGCAGGGCATATGGAGTTTGAATTCCTGATTCCAGAAGACGCACGGTTGCGCGCCCACATTTCCCAATGCAGCAACCTCAAGTATGTTAAGACTGTGATGGACCATTTTGACGAGCGGCAACGTGAGGACTTTCGCAACTCCCCCCTCGGATATCTGGCTGATATTCTAGACATTCAATTCTCTGCCCAGCTAATCCTACAGCTACTGTTTAGAACAATCCGCACAGAAAAGGCGAACGAGCTTTGGTTCAATGAGCAAGGACACCTGATGAGATTCGGTCTACAAGAGTATGCTGCGGTGACGGGGTTAAGATGTGGTGCATTCCCCGAGGGGGACGATTTTGATCGATTGATTGAGAGGAAAAGGTTAAAAGAGAGGTACTTTAAGTCCAATGACAAGGTATCATTGGCACAACTACAGTGTACTGTTGCCCGACCATCGACGACCCGTGCTGATCACTACAAGCTAGGCCTTGTTCTAATTGTCGAGGGAGTATTCAATGCTCCGGATAATAACGTTGGTATCCATTTGCCATTTTTATCAATGGTGGACGACCTGAACTTCTTTTTTTCCTACCCCTGGGGTAGAGTTGGATATAAGTGATTGTTGCACGGATTCCGGGGCAGATTTGGAAGAAAATTCGAAAAGGCCAAGAGGAGCAAGGAGAAAGAGATTACATGCACGGTTCACGGCTTCTCCATCGCCATGCAAGTACGCACATAACATCTGTAATTTGAATGTGTTTCTGTAATTGTGCATATAATCTCTGTAATTTTACATGCACGGTTCACGACTTTCCCATCGCATTGCGCATATAATTTCTGTAATTGTGATGTGTTTTTGTTACTGTAACAGGTTTGGGCGTTCGAGGCGATTCCGGAGATTGGGGAACGCTTCGGTCAGCGAGTCGGTGAACGACTACCACGAATTCTTCGTTGGTCCGCTCGAAAGCAGCCACAGCATCGTACATACGATGCATTTTTCAAGAATGTACAGGTAGACTTTCGACATGTCTTTGTCTCCCATTTACCATCTTGTTACTATCTGGCACGTTCTAATGTGATTATCTAAACCTCATTTCGCAGCTGCATGTGTACGCAACTCTCCGTCCCACCGATGCAGAGGCTGAGCAGCCATATCTGTCGTCGCTTGTGCCGTACGACGATCCCCCGGTGCCCGTGCTTGATGACATTGCGAGGAATGTGGTTGCGCCGCAGATTCATTCCTTACACGTCGAAAGTGGAGTTGGTGGACAATCGGGAGGTCAAGATTTGGAGGACAGAGTCCGTAGTGGACGAAGTGGTGACGGGGAGACATCTGGAGATGACGAGAGCGATGGGGAGTCGGAAAGTGATAGCGAAGGCGACGACGATGAGGATACCGGTGACTTTTCCTCCCCTGCAGGGGCACCCATTCGTTCACCTGAGCGAGGGCATACGACGAACTCACTGCCAGTTCGAACATCTGATTCCAGCTTGACAAAAGGGGAAGTCGAGGAGCTGCTACTCGACCAAAGAATCCTCTTCGAGATGCGACTCCGGACTGTGAAGCTTGAAATTGAACAGCACGTGACATTTGAATGTACAAAACTCCGTGAGTTCATTGCTGGCCAGGTGGCCCCACATCCTCCTACCACCGCTCCGCGCTCAACTGGCGCCATTTTCGAGCCCGGTCCGTCAAGTTGTTCCCCACAAGGTATGAATCAAACGTGTGCTATTCGGTTATATTTTTGGAAATCGACCACAAGGTTATTCATTTTTTTCTTGTTACAATTGGGATGTAGACGTACATGGACGAGGCACAGACCCATTGCCCACGCCAATTGAATTGGGAGTTGATACATGATGTTCACAGCCTCCAGGTACGAATATTAATAACGAGTGATTCTACACATGTTACTGCCTGGTCGTTGTACAATTCTTGAGTTCGGAGATGTAATGTGCTCTCATGACGTCACTGTTGATTTTCACAGTCGGAGCATACAGTCCTCTATGCAGGGACGAGGGGGAGCTGCTTGTTGAAACTGAAGACTTGCCAGGTATGTGGGTATTACATGCACAATTCGAAACATATTATTTCATCGAGTACGCATGTTGTGAAACACGACATAAAAAATATGCTCACATTTTTTTACTGTTGTTGTCAATAGAGGGAGCTGACATTACACCATGCCCGGACGCCGAGCACGAGCCGTTGCCCACTCCAATGTACGACCAGGAAGGTAGTGCGTCCATTACAAGCACTTTTCGCAATTTCATGTCATTGCATTTGGTTCCTAATGTTTCGTCGAATGCTATGCATTTACGTATTTTCTGTTAATAAGACGGAGCTGCCACAGAGCCCTCAGATGCGGCCGCGGTCAGCGATGCAGAGATTAATAGTTGCAAGGTCACAGATGGCGAAGGTAAGTTCATTGCATGCGTTACTACTGTGTATAATACGTATGGTTAGTGAATGTCATTGACGGTAACTCACTGGGCCCCTTCCATTGTTATGTAGGTGTTGTCGCTACCGTACCTGTTCCCGCCGCTGACGTACCTATTCTCACGCCTGTACCAGAATGAAGAGGTCGAGTTTCTACGACCAGATGGCGCTCCGCCCGGCTACGACGTCCCGCTCCTGCGACGAGGACTCCGTACACGAGGGGGAGGGGAAAGACTTTGAAGAAGTAATTATGAATGAAGCGGCGGGATGGCAGGACAATGGGGTTGTTTTTGGCTTTTGCTTACCCGCCGAGGCGTGCAGATGGTGAACGTAGTAGACTTGAACAATTACTCACTTGCTTTTACGTTTATTCTAACATTGACGCTTTACATTTTTGTTTGACATGTGCTTTGGAATTTTGACAAGCGTCCCACATTTTGCCTTGCCTTAAGTTATGACATTGTCTAATACCTTGTTTATGTCTTCTGTTACGTGAACAGTGGGAACCTACATTGACATGATAAGCAGTTTTCTGAAATTTAGAAAATGATCTTTGCATTCTCGTTAAAGTACACCTTGTTTCCAGGTTAGAACATCAATTAGATGACACCAAGAAAGTCCACCCATGTAAAATGGGAACTGAACTGTAATCTACTCTAGAAGATGGACATTATAGTGATTACAATTTTTATTTTGATAATAACTGCATAATTTCTTCTCTTCTATGCTCAATGTTGACATCGTTGTTAAATTGGCATTGTTATGAAGCATATATACAAACTTACAACCACTTTTCAAAATTTTTGATAAGAACTATACTCGGTATACCACGTGTGTGAATATAATGTAATCCCATTTTTTCGAAGCACTACAATTACAAAGATGGCACAATTGCTGGGAATACTTTGCACAGAGGCATTTCAGGTGCAGGAATGTATATGTATTGAATTATACAGAGATAATAAAGAGTGTTAATTATCCTACTAATTATGGGGAAATGGGGGATAACAGTACCATAAATTTATTGAACCATCACACCAATTGCCTTTCAAATTAACAAGGAGATTGGACTTGGTGGTTGGGTAGATGATGACCATAATTGCATATCCTCTTCAACTTGCTTATAAATACAGTGTCACATTGTTCACACTTCTAGACAGCTTAGTGGAATAGCATTGTGAGAATTTGTGGCTCTCAAAGATAGATTTTGTTTCAACAATACTTTACTACTAAGCATAATGAGTTCGTCCACAGGAAGCACCGAACCGTTCAACATTGATGAGCCGATGCCGATTCCCGGTTCCTCTCCGTTATTTCCAATCTACATTTCATCAGACGATGACGAAATTGAGCTTCGTATGGGTAGGAGAGCCATTTTCCCTGTTCCCTTCCCGAACTTGGAAGATGTAGGGAGTGACGATGGTTTGTCACAGAACGATGTGGTTGATGCTGTGTTCTCGGTCGACACTGCGTACGAGGGGGATTCTGAGGACGACGATGGGCTAGTGTATGCCCCAGCGAATGAGATCATTATGATCTCGTCTGACGAGTCAGGTGAAGACAGCGGGGGAGCAAGTGCGGTTGTCGACGACGAGTGAAATGCCGGCCGTGGAGTGTGGTGAATAAGTAGTGTACAGTCCACTCTTTTGTAGGGATGCAGTTGGTTAACACAGAACGAAAATGTCTGCATGAACATTTCCTTTCGCGGTAATCCGCGTAGTGTATTTTGTGTATAGTCCAGTCCAGTCCGGTCGAACTGTCGAGAATTACAGATTTCTATCTGTCGGGATCGACAAATTAACCTACACCTATATTTTGCACAACGTTTGCTGGATGATATGAAATGCTATTTATTTAGAGCTGATTTCTTTCCGTGGTGGACGATTTTAGAAATTATAATTTACTGCATGAATATTGAACTTAAAAATTTTAAATGGGGTTCATGATGCGCGCAGTCCAACAACAACAAGAGAAGGACAACGTCCCAATTTACAATTCCATTTGCCTATTTATAACATAACTTTGTAAGGTGCAGAGCACTAAGGAACATTGAACATACAACGTCGATTGCACTAACAACGTTTAGGGAACTTGTGATATATTGGGGTTCGAACATGTGCTCCGATTATGACCAAGACGACCACAACGAGTGCATTTCCTGCTCGACCATGCAGATTCGTATCTTGAACGCTTACGTCGGGTCGGTGGTCTACCTGGAGGGCGACGTACGAGTGGTGGCAAAATAGGAGTAGATGTAATTAAACTGGGAAAAACCCAGTCCGCTTCACGGCGAACAAGGTATATCGCTTCGTTATAGGCACCCCTCCAGTATCCAGATGTGTAATAAGGGGAGCAAAGGTCATACAAAGACTTCCCTTTGAAGCAAGCAGCACGAGTTGCATGAGCACATGGCATACGGTTTAGTTGGAACTCACGACACGTGCAAGTGTCTTCGGAAAAGTCAACTATGTCCACGTCGTTGGATATTCCAACCTGAGTTAAGTTGTTTGTCAACAACTGGGCTCGAAGCCTAGTTCCAGTTTCAAATGTCATCCGTAACTCATTTTCCATCCTCAGCGTCAATACTGTACTGCAATCGATCGTAATTTTCTGACGTTCATAAAACCACTTCTGCAAAGTACTCCGAACGTGTTCGACCAAGCAAGTTATCGGTAAAGAACGGGCTTCTCTCAACATGGAGTTCAGAGACTCAGCGTTGTTGTTCGTCATGATGTTGTAACGGTGGCCAAGAAATAGTGCTCGGGACCAAAATGAATAACCCGCACGCTCTAAGTACCCGTGCGCTCTTGTGCTCACCCTGCGGATCTGTCCCATGAGTCTTTCGAAGTCCTCAACCCGATATGTCGTAGCAGCTCGTTTGAATAGAAGTATTGAACTTGCGTTGCTGTATCGCTGTATGAGGTTCTTTTCGAGATGCCAAATACAACAACCATGGTGAGACAACGGAAACAACTGAGTAATAGCTTTGTCAATGCTCTTTTTTCTGTCTGAAACAAATACGAGGTCTTCGGAGTCCCCTATAAGCTCTTTCAAGTTGGACATAAACCACATCCACGATTTATTGGTTTCAGCGTCCACGATCCCCCATGCTAACGGATATATCTGTTTGTTACCATCTTGAGCAGTTGCCAGTAGAAGTGTCCCTTTGTATGGCCCCTTTAGATGACTGCCATCAACACAAATAACGGGTCTCAAGTACTGCGTGTAACCACGAATGCTTGCACCGAAAGCTAGGAAGAAGTAATGAAATCTATTTTGAGAATCGAGTTCTATGTGGGTTACTGTCCCCGGGTTACTCTCTCCTACGACGTGGCAGTATGAAGACAATTTCTAAAAACTGGCTTCCGGTGTACCGTGTAGCATAGTTAAGGCATGAAGCTTTCCCCTACGAGCTTTGTTGTAACTGATTTTCACACCGAACTCACGTTCCATATCACGTGCAATAGCGGTAGGGTCATACGATCGACCTGGAGTATCTAGTTTGCCTACAATGTGCTCGAAAATTACAGAACTAGTGGCATGCCGATGTGCGTTACAACGAAAATCAAGGGAACATGTGTGCACGTTGATGAATTTACGGATCATGAAGATTGCAGATTGCTTGACAGTAGAAGCACGTAGCATCCACTTGCAATTATCATCCACACATACAACGGTTAACATTTTCATGCTTGACCTGCTCACCCGAAATTGAAACTTCTCTTGCAAAGTAAGCACACGAATCTTACAGTACAACTGTTTCTTGCTAAAGAATATTTGCTTTTCGGTGAGAACGACGACTGCCATCCACTCATTTGTGCCTAAACTCATGGAATGTGATGACACAGGCTGGTCAATTTCAGCAATAATAGCATCATTCGTACCATGTAATAGGTTCTCTAAGTGCTCAACGGATGCTGCAGCCTCGATATGGTCAATTGAATGTGCGGGTGCTTCGTTGTTCGACCCACTATGCTCATGATTGACCTCACCATTTCTTAAAGTATGGGGACATTCCGTTAGGCAGAACCGGTTCTCTACACAGTTTGCTTCCCTCACCATGTCAACACTGGGGACCTCGGTTTCCATAATAGTGACGCAGAGTGCAGTCTCCTTATAAATAGATATGTACCAATTTAGGTCCTCATCGTCGTGTATCTCTGTCGGAGGTATATTCAAATTCGGGACTTTGAACTTTAACTCAATTTCATTGCGGGGTTCAACAATACCAAGTTTCTCCTTCAATCTTAATACAAGTTCTGTTACGGTAATGTTTCTCGACGCTAAAATGAAAGTCGTTTTGTCCCCTCTCCACTTCCATTCGTCATCCACGTGAACAAAGTTCCCCCTCATGCGACACGATGAATCTCAGATCCTGAGCCATACCTGAAATGTTGGGAGTACAAAAGTCATAATTCTGCACATTTTTGTCGAAAGATTTAATATAGTCAAATTGGCTCATTACAATACTTTGATCCATGTAGTACCAAAAAGAGAGCTTTTCAGGTGTCAAAATCGACAATTGAATTCTCTGCCCATCCCGACAGTTACTAAATGTCGATTTCGACAGTTCAAATGTCTAACCCGACAGTTTCTACGAAATTGCTCAACACTTGACCGGCATAAGTTTTGGGAAGCATACAAAAAATGTGTTTTACTGTTTCAGGAATTTATTGCAGCACACTAAAGGTCATAATCAATTCTCAACTACAACTTCAACTGATATCCCCACACACAAAGAAAGTATAACTCAATGCTTCATTAAATATAGAGTTACATATAAAATGATTCACATTTTCTTGAGAATATTGGTATTTCTTCCCTTTCTAAAATATACCAAGAACAAAAAACCAATGAATAAGAGATGAAATATGGACAATTAATTCTGACCATGTTTTATTGAATATTTAAAGTACTCAAGTATGACATGCAAAATTTTTTTTTCTACTACCTCACCTTTGAAATTGATCAATAGCTTTCCTTCATGCCTTGTTCATAATGAAAGGGGGATGATGATGAAGAAGAAGCTATTTCAACTCCTACTTGTGTGTGCTCTTTGTACACATTTCACCCATTTTTTTAATCAAAAATTCATATTATACAATATAATATTCATTTCTTCAATATTAACAATAAAGATAAATAAATAATCACATCACACCATTAATAGCATTCAAATCAAGCATTTATTGCTCCTAAAAAGGTGTCAAAGGGTAATATGGACATTTTGTGGGGGAAAAAGTGACATTTTTGCAAAAAAATTGTGCAAGACAATTTTTTGTGCATTTTCATATTTAGTGACATTTGTGTAAATTCCCCTATCTATTTTTACTTTTTTTTTTCCACCAAGGAGATTGGAAGGGTGGGGGAGAGGAAGGGACTCACTGCTCAAAATAAATCCTTGTAGCAAGCTCTGAGTTCTCTCAGCTTGCTCGAGAGTACCTGATATTTAAATGATCTTCTCTGTTACCTCAGGTCTATCTTCCATCAGTTTAACATTCAATCCTGATAGCTGTTTGCATCAAATTTTAAGTCATTGAGTCATATAGCCCTTGTTTGATCCCCATTCTTTAAAAACTCATTTTTTTCAAATCCATTTACAACCACACGTTCTCCCTATAAAATAATTTCACACATAAACCCAAATTCTTTTCCTACTTATTAAACACAAATTCTCCAAAAAAATCGCTATTACAAAATACATTATCCCAAAAATGGGGCTCAAACAATCCAATAATCTCCTTGTCCGAAGATGATATCAACGAGTAAAATAAACCAGGGATGCTTAGCTCGACTAACCTCACTGATTAGAGTTAGCTTATTTCTTGATTTTGTTATGAGTTTGGATGCCACATTTGGTGTTATAACAATTTCCAGTGTCCTTCTGGTAACGAGTGGTAAAGAGATTCTGGGGAAAAGAAAATGAATGCACAGTGACTATGAAATGAGATTAACATGAGATTCCACCCCAAGAAAAATGAACAAAAGTTCACTACCTATTCAATATATTGGGAATATCTTCACGACGTTCACTTCCATCTTGCTTCACCCTTTCATTACCCAAGGGCCTCAAATCCTGGGAAAAAATGTAGACAGTTTTGAAATGTGAAAATGAGGAGCAACGAAATTGGGTGATGGTAAGAATTCAAGCAAAAAATTCCATGCCGAAGGAACCCAGTCAGCCATGTTCCCCGCCCACGTCACCGGGAAAGTTGACATTATAGAAAGTGGAAATTACACTATATGTCAAGTTTTGGGTTTGCATTTACAAAAATGTCATTTTTTTAAAAGAGATTACAAAATTGTCATTTTTGAAGATTTTTGGACATTTCTGCCCCTCTTAAAAATTTCAATACCTTGTATATCCTTCATTAATGAGACATGACTAGATGAGAAATTTGAAAACCAAATTAGCCTTTCTCTCTTCCATTATTGTTCCTCCCATCATCTCACGTTCTCTCTCTCTCCCCATTCGATTTTCCCATCATCTCACGTTCAGAGGAAGTCCGACAGCTGCTGAGTTCCTCTGGCGTGATTAAACGTCGAGCTGCTGCCATGAAGTCGCTGACGCTGAGCCTCCACCCTCGGTGACTGCTGTCACTCTAAACCCCCTCTCTCTCTCTCTCTCTCTCTCTTTTTACTTCCTGTTTTTTTGCCATTACATTAGGCTAATTTATGATTTTGTTTTACAGAGTGATTTATTGAATTTTGAAAGATTTAACTCCGGCAGCTGCTGAGCATGGTAGTCTCAGCACCCCGGCGTGATTAAACGTCGAGCTTTGTCCAGGCTTGTGAGTTGAACCTGCTGCCACCAAGTCGGCGACGCTGAGCCTCCACCCTCGGCTACTGTCACTGTAAACCCGTCTCTCTCTCTCTGTGTTTGTAATTTTTTTTAGTTCCTTTTTTTTTTGCCATTACGTTAGGGTAATTTATGATTTTGTTTTACATTAGGGTAATTTATGATTTTGTTTGACAGAGTGATTCAAATGATAGTTTAGTAGTTTGTGTAATTGTCAGTTTACTGTATTTGAGTTTCCTACACCTATGATGACTGATCGAACCCAACGTGTCTTTTTCAAGTAGTAATTATGTTGTTTTAGATAATAGGTTTCAGTTATATTACCAAGAGAGTGATTGCTAAAACCACTTTGGTTATGGGTGGGTGAAGTTTGCTGCTTCATATGAGAATCCAACATCAATATTTGTTCAAATAGTAAGGATATCCTCTGCCTTTGACGTTCTTGCTCTTTTTGCTGCCAACATATTCAAGAAATTGAAACATTATATAGAAGTTAGTACTATGTCACTTGTACTTCAATTTTAGTTCAAAATCTGAAGATTTTTATTTTTTTACCAATAGCTCTTAAGAAGTCGAAGCTTCCGGTAAAATTCAATGAAGGCCCGTCTCAACTTTTGTTCTGCTTTTTGTAGTTCATCCTTGCTGAATGATAGATCAGATTTTGAACGCATGATGACATTTTTCAGAGTCGAAACTGGGGTGTCTGGTTCCACATTGATATTTACATGATCCAAAACTTGTAATGAAGGAGGCCTAAAACCATTTGAATCCTTTTTTCTGTCTTCTTTTCATCTTCACAAGTCCCCATCTCAATTTCTTGAATTACATCCATATGCAATCCTCCTTAAAAGAAAGAAGAGTTTGAGAATGGAAAATGTTTGCTATGATACTGTATGTCTAAAAATAATAAGCAACTAAAGCAATGCATTGTTTTTGTTCATTTTAAACAAGACTCAATTTCTATATATATCATCAACTGATTATGCTATCTCACTTCGAGAAATTTGAATATGAATTCTTGATGCCATTTAAACTCTTACTATGACTAATTTACACTCTGATTGCCATACCTTGCTTATTTCCATTCACAGTTGCAATAACTGTTGCTGGGGATGAACCAAGAATCAGCCATAATAGATAAGATGGTTCATGAAAGTATCAGAGCAAGGTTCCAAATTCAAGTCTTGTCTTTACCCACTTATACTACACCTTTTGATGAAAAATTCATCTATCTTGCACATGAGAGGCGTCTTGAATACTAAAATTAAATTAATAAACACATTCCTCTTTAACAACTGAAACCGTTAGAAGAAGTGATTCAATATACATAGGTTGCCTAAAGAAAAGACAAATATGAGATCTTTTGAGGGATATATTTCCCACATTTAATAAAATTTAATATAAACCTACATAAGGGTTTGGATTATTTATCTTAACAATGCTAATATTTTAAGATTGAACCTAAAATCTTGACACCTTTTTGGTACAAATAAAAATTTGATTATAATCTCAAGTCAAAATTAACAATTAATTTTAACTATACATTTCATTGTTGAGCCTACAACTTTTCAACCACATATTTCATCAACTTTTATCAATATTACTAAAAATATGATTTTAATCTATACCAAAAGGGCTTCATATCGTATCAGAGTCAATTAAGTTCCAACAAACAATTCAATTTGATTAAGATCCAAACAAGTACATGAATTTCAAGATTAGGTTCCTCAAAAGAGCTATCATCTTACAAGATATGGCGAGGAATAAAATTTCATATCGAACAAACATACAAATATAAACCAACATATAAGGGCTTATACTATTTCTCTTAATAAGTTTTCTCTTTTAAGATGAAATCTTCCTAATGAGATCAGTTTGTCAAGTAAGGTACTTCTAGCAAGAGAAATGCTTACACCATCATACAAGAACTGAAAACCTCTTTCTTTCTCCCAAGCTTTCAATTTAGGCTTCAATGTTTCCAGCATCTCTATGAAACCAACCAAACCAAAGTCACTAAGTTCATCTATTCAAACACATACAAAAATGAGAGAAAAGTGATGTTGCTCCATAAGAATACCAAATAAACTATCAAAGGTTATCTTTCCCCGAATCTCAAAATAGAAAAGAAATTATTTTCTCACGTTCATCATACACGTTAACCCGTGATCTTACCTCCATGATATTCTGATGAGAGAGAAACTTAATGGCATCAACAAATATTTATTCTAAAAGCAGATGCTCTACTGTTCATTAATCCCCTGTTTCAAAGAAATCAAATTAACTCCTCGCGCCATATTACTAAATTTAACATCCGGAGTCTAAGTAAAGGAGATTGCCAATCTCTAAAACCTGGCATTGTTTTATTGGTTATTTGGGTCTCTCAGAATTGGAAATTTAATAAACCGGAGGCAATTGGCAAAGCTGCTCATATACCATTAAATACCATATACAACATATGGCTCTCCCAACACATTAAACATATTTCCCACCTCACCACAATTATATTAAAAAGTGAGATATGTATCTGGAATTTTGGTAATAAGAGCTCGAGCTT